TAAAAAAAAAAACAAGTGGGCTCCCCCAAAGTCCACGGTATAGTTCGAACACTGGAAAACATCACAATAATCCACACCACTCCAGTCCATCAGTTAACGTCTTATGAAGCAAAAACTGTGTTTTTGTAATAAACAAATCCATCATCAAGGTGTTTTAACTTTAAACCGTTGCTTCTGGCAAAAATATGAGTCCATCCATAATCCATAATAATGACTCTTTTTGCTTGTAAATGGTTCTTGGTCTGTGCATATTTCTCTCCTGATTCAGACAGGAGAAAGTAATATTATGAATAGAGGACTCATATTTTAGCTGAAAGTAAGACGTTTGAAGTAAAAAATGTCTTGATGGTTGTGTTACTTACAAACACGCAGCTTTTCTCTTCACAAGACGTTATCTGATGGACTGGAGTGGATTGCTTGTGGATTATTGTGATGTATTTATCAGCTGTTTGGACTCTCATTCTGACGGCACCCATTCACTGCAGAGCATCCATTGCTGAGCAAGTGATGCAATGCAAATCTCTCTTTTCTCCAAATCCGTTCTCATGAAGAAACAAACTCATCTACATCCCGGATGATCTGAGAGTGAGTACATTTTTTGCAAATTTTCATTTTTAGGTGAACTATTCATTTAAAAACCCTTTACTTATTTAAAAGACCTTAATTTCTTTAAACAACAGCACTACATTAGCCATATATCTATAAAATTACACCTTTTTAAAAGAGTAAATTGAAGACTTACAGGTACTCCAGGTGCGGAAGGCCAGAAAATGAATCATCCCGTATTGTAGTGAGAGCATTGGAGTTCAGCAACCTGTCAAGAGTTTACAGCCACAATCATTCCCAACAATCACTGTCACTGCAATTATAACAGTCAGGCTGTGTGTTTACATTGCAGTGCAGTACACACAGATAAAAGTGCCCTGTCACTGTCGATGAGTGCCAGGACAGGCACATATTTCTCTATATCTCTGTCAGTGTATCAAATCACTGACATCCTGCAATACGCCAATGACAGCATGGAAAAGTCACCAGAGTCACTGTGTTCTCAATGTCAAAAAGAGAACGGGAGGAAAACCGACACTATCTGTGTGCCCTGACTTATTAAATAGCTAGAGGTTGAGTGAAAGAGGCCTTTCTATTCGTCATCTGTCACCTTCAACTGTTTAGCTGAGGAGTACACTGGATTCCAGTGCTAAATAACAGAGGACAAAACAGGTTTAATTAATTGTTCAATATGCCAATTAAGATTCCTTCTCAAATGGATGCATTATTGTACAGGCCAAAATATTCTCCAATCTAACATTATTAGACAGCTAATTTAATCCAGAAAGCAGTCTGTTTTTGAGGTTATCCGACACTACTGTGCAAAATATGACAGTTTTTGGTAGATTTGGTAGATTTTTGGTAGATGTTTTGGTAGAATTGGCATAATTTGGTAGGCGTTCTCTTTTTGCAATACCATGCAAATTTATCAAAACGCTCTTTAATGTAAATTAAATGTTTTTAATACACAGTTTTTATTTTCAGGTAAAATGGGACAGATAATCAGCAAACGATTTTGGTTTACGGTAAATATGCCCTGACTTTTAAAATAGCTAGAGGGAGCCTTGACAGCTAATTGAATCCAGAAAGCAGTCTGTTTGTGAGGTTATCCAACACCCTAGTAGGGTCAACTGTGCAAAACTGGACAGTTTTTGGTAAAATTGGTAGATTTTTGGTAGACTTTGCATAATTTGGTAGGTGGTTTTCTTTTTGCAATACCATGTAAATGTAAATGTATCAAAACAGCCTTTAATTAAAAAAATGATACATTTAGAGAGTTTTCAGGTAAAGTGGGACAGATCTTCAGCAAAAGATTGAGAGGGGGTTCAATCTTCAACTGGCTGGCAGGAGCCGCCACTGACAGGTCATGTGACCTGCCAGTGGCTGGTGGCAGCTGCCAGTCTGATTCTGGCAGCTGCCAGTGGCTGGTGGCAGCTGCCAGTCTGATTCTGGCAGGTCACGTGACCTGCCAGTGGCTGGCTGGCAGCTTCAGGCAGCCGCTGTAGATCTGCGAGTAGAACGCCTACCCTATCACTCTCCCTGCAAGGAAATACACTATTTTATTATGAATATATTTTTATGACTCTGTTTTTTTGGATGATTGACCTTTTAGGTTTTTTTCCCCAACTAAAGCAGTCAAATGAACGTGATCACGGCTGGTTGCTTACTGATGCTTTGTTGGACGCTCAACCAGCCAGCCTCTGCTGCCTCTCATTCCAAGGAAATCATTCTGATTTTATTTTTGTTATTTCTACATTGTTTTTGTAAACAACTTTGAGTCAATTAATATATTATTTGCGTTCATGTCCTCCTATAACAGTTTCCTCCAGTCAGACTTTTTAAGCTATGAGTATGCCTATGCGTTCCCCACCACTCCTGCTGCAAGGAAATGCATAATTTTATTATTGTGAATATGTTCTTTTGAATGTAATGAGGTTTAATTAGTAGTCTAATGGCCGTGATCCCGGTTGGTGGGTTACTGCCGCTTCCGTCCAGCCAGCTGCCAGTTTAACGACTCTTACTGCAATGAAATTCATTGTTTTATTATTATTAATGTATTCTTATGAATGTATTCTTTTATATCATAGGCGTATAAGGGAGGTTTATCCTGAATAAAGGAGACAAATGGCCGTAATCCCGACTGGTGGGTCTGACGCTTCTCTGGCCGCTCAGTCCAGCCAGTGGCAATTGAGCTCTAATTTTGACGCGTTCTCTACCACTCTAGCTGCAAGGAAATGCATTACTATTATTATTATTATAAATATATTCTCATTAATCTATTCTTTAAGATCATATACGGTTTAGGGGGTTTTATCCTGATTTAAGTGTTCAAATGATCGTGATCCCGACTGGTGGGTTGCCTACTCTTCAGTCTAGCCAGCTGCTATTGAGCTGCGAGTTTAACGCGTTCCATATGACTCTCACTACAATTTAATTCATTGTTTTATTATTATTAATGCATTCGTGTGAATCTATTATTTTATATGATTGACGTTTAAGGAAGATTCATCCCGATTAAAGCCGTCAAATTGCCGTGATCCCGACTGGTGGGTTACTGACGCTTCGCTGGCCGCTCATCCAGCCAGTCACTGTTAAACTTAAAGATTAACGCGTTCTACCACTCCCGTTGCAAGAAAATAAATTATTTTATTATTATGTATAGGCTATATTCATATGAATCTATCATTTTATATGATATACGTTTTAGGGAGGTTTATCCCGATTAAAGTGGTCAAATAACTGTTATCCCGACTGGTGGGTTACTGACACTTTAGTCTAGCCAGCCGCTATGAAGCTGCCAGTATAACACGTTCTCTACCACTCTCTCTGCAAGGAAATATATTATTTTATGATTATGAATTCATTCTTATGGGTCTGTTCTTTTACATGATCGACATTTTAGGGAGGTTTATCACAAATAAAGTGTTCAAATGGCCGTGATCCAGACTGGCAGGTTATTGCCGCTTGCACTGGCTGCTCAATCGGCCAGCCGCAAGAGCGCTCCGAGTTTAACGCGTTCCCTACCACTGTCTCTGCAATTAAATATATTATTTTATGATTATTAATATATTCTTATAAGTCTAGTCTTTTTAACTGTTGACATTTTAGGGAGGTTTATCACAAATAAAGTGTTCAAATGGCCGTGATCCGGACTGGTGGGTTACTGCCGCTTCAGTGCAGCCAGTCACTTTCAGCTCCGAATTGAACGGGTTCCATATCACTCCATAAAACATCGAATATGTAAAAGAATAAAGTCATATGAACAGATACAATAAAAAATAATATTATTATTCCCGTATAGAGTGGAAGGAGAGCAACATAAATCTGCCATAAATCAATGGTTCCTGACAGTGGACTTGCAGCCGCCAGGCAGCCAACCACTGGCAGATCACGTGACCTGCCAGAATCAGACTGCCAGCTGCCAATGGTCACTGGTGCTGCCAATCAGTTAGGGATTGAACCCCTAATGGAGTTTAAGTTGGCTTTCTTTTATAGAATTATTAAAAAGCATTGCAGTTTGTCCTGTTGTCGCTGAAATTACTTTATGAGAAATATTCTTGTTATTGGGATAATTCACGTTTTAATAGGCATTTATCCATACAAATTAGAATGATTTCCTTGGAATGAGAGGCAGCAGCGGCTGGCTGGTTGAGCGTCCAGCAAAGCGTCAGTAAGCAACCAGTCGTGATCACATTCATTTGACTGCTTTTATTGGGGGAAAAAAACGAAAACGTCAATCATACAAAATAATAGAGTCATAAGAATATAGTCATAATAATAAAAATGTATTTCCTTGCAGTGAGAGTGATAGGGAACGCGTTATACTCGCAGCTCAGCAGCGGCTGGCTGGTTGAGCGTCCAGAGAAGCGTCAGTAAGCAACCAGTCGTGATCATGTTCATTTGACTGCTTTAATTGGGATAAACCCACCTAAAACGTCAATCATACAAAAGAATAGAGTCATAAGAATATGTTTATAATATTAATATAATGTATTTTCATACAGCGAGAGTGATAGGGAACGCGTTATACTCGCAGTTTAACCGGCTGGCTGGATTGAGAGTCAGTAAGCAACCAGTCGTGATCACGTTCATTTGACAGCTTTAATTGGGATAAACCCACCTAAAACGTCAATCATACAAAAGAATAGAGTCATAAGAATATATTCATAATAATAAAATAATGTATTTCCTTGCAGCAAGAGTGATAGGGAACGCTTTATACTCGCCGTTTAACCGTGGCTGACTGGATTGAGCCGCGAGTGGAAGCGACAATCAGCTGGCAGTTGGGATCACGGCCATTTGGGCACTTTATTTGTAATAAGCCTCTATAAAATGTCGACAAATTAAAAGACTAGACCCATAAGAATATATTAATAATCATAAAATAATATATTTCCTTGTAGAGAGAGTGGTAGAGAACGCGTTAAACTCGGAGCGCTCTCGCGGCTGTCTGACTGATCCGCCAGTGGAAGCGACAATCAGCTGGCAGTTGAGATCACGGCCATTTGGGCACTTTATTTGTAATAAGCCTCTATAAAATGTCCACAAATTAAAAGACTAGACCCATAAGAATATATTAATAATCATAAAATAATATATTTCCTTGTAGAGAGAGTGGTAGAGAACGCGTTAAACTCGGAGCGCTCTGTAGCTTAGCTTGCTACATTTCCCAGGGCTGTAGCTTTAGTGTAGTGAAGCTTCATTTAATGATGAGTAACTGTTAGCTTAGCTCACTACATTTTCCGAGTAGCTTGCCCAACACTGCCAGATCATTAGACAACTCATTTCCATCAATGTAAGAAGAAATTTAAGTAATACTTGCCCTCATGCATTTACAGAAGAAACAAACACCCAAGATGAACACTGGAGCAATTAATACATATAGCCTTTGGCGTTCAGAGGAGTTGGGAGGTTTTGAGATGGAGGTTTGTGGTGGCGCTCTACTGGAGGAAAATGGTGGTTCTGTAAGATAGAACAAAAAGAGAAATATTTAGAGGATTATAAACCTTAAATCAAATGACCTTCACTAAGTACCACCTTAAAACGTTACTGACCAGTCCTACTTGAGCAACTCTTACCATCTGCCAAATTATCAGATGAGCAACTCTTACCGTCTGCCAAATCATCAGAAAACTTTTACCGTTTTCTAATCAATGTCTAAAGGTGCAGTCACATTAGCGAGATGTCACTGAAATGTTGCTTGCAAAAAAGGTCCAGTGTCTATTATCAGTATCGATGTTGGAAGCACAGTTCACACACAGAAGCCACTTTCAAATCAAGCAGGTTTCTGCAGGTCAGCACAACACATTCACGTGACCAACATGAACAAACAAAATTTGCGTGGCCAACTTTTTTGTCCTCACGCAAAACTCCTGAATTTGTGGAATCCTATTAAAATAGCTGGATTTTGTCTGCGAATTTACATCAAGCAATGGTAAATGTGACTGCACCTGAAGGAGGATCTGTATTAGAACAGGTTTTTACACAAATAATCCAAGAAATAATGCAAACAATCGTTTTACTTCTTTTCCAAATCGTTAAAATACATCTTGAGATCATTCAGTGGATCAAACAATGAGTCTTTACAGCAAGATCATAAATGTTTTCACTCATAATTTTGCACAACTGAGGATTTTGCAAAAACCATTTGCCTGTTTGGAATCATAGTCTCTGCCGTTTTAATTCACATCACTGTGTAATTTATATTAATTTCTTATAAAAACATTAGATAAAATGCTTTGCAATGCCACAAGTTATTACAGCTCAATTAGGAATAAAAGCTTTACAGGCAAACAGACATATTACAGTAATATACCTACCGACAACAAGTGTAGCAGTTCTTCTTAGACACATTGTTTCCAGTGATGATTTTTGCTTCATAGAGGCCTGAGCTTTCGGAGCTGACATTTAGAAGAATTAAGGTTCCTTCTTCAACTCGCAGTAAGACTCCAGGTGTTTCCACAACAAAACAGTCCCTACAATGAGCACAGCGACAGTATTGCGCAATCAAGTTTATCAGATTTTCTCTTGTAAAAGTTATCCTCACTCGATCGGCTCTCTCCAGTTCAGCAGTTTTGAAGGATATAGTAACATTTTCTCCATCAGTTGCCTCCAACTTCAACTCAGCAACACACACAGTGACTGTTTGGGACAGAAAGAAAGTATTTATTATGGTTTAGAACAGTGTTTCCCAAGTTTTTGTCTACCAAAAACAACCCCATCAGTAACGCAGAAGTACTATATTTGGCGTTTCAGTCTAGGGCTGCACGATAAATCGAAATGGAATCGAGCTCGTGATTTGACAGAAGCTGCGATTGTCATGCGTATCTTTCAGTGAAGCAGGGTTCTGTGATCAGCAGTAAATCTCCATCCAAAGGCCAGAGGGCGCTCTCGCGCTGAAACTCCCAAATACGCCTAGCAGAAGAAACCCAGGAAATCCCTATAGCAGTTGCTGAATAAACAGAAGATTCAACTGCTTTCATTGATTCAACATGATTGAGATCATTCAGTGGATCAAACAATGAGTCTTTACAGCAAGATCATAAATGTTTTCACTCATAATTTTGCACAACTGAGGATTTTGCAAAAACCATTTGCCTGTTTGGAATCATAGTCTCTGCCGTTTTAATTCACATCACTGTGTAATTTATATTAATTTCTTATAAAAACATTAGATAAAATGCTTTGCAATGCCACAAGTTATTACAGCTCAATTTATTTCAAACACTCGACTGACGTTATGAAGTGAGTTTGGAGTAAAATATTAAATGTGGTATTTTCACATGCTTTCAGATGGAGCAGCATTTACTTCACAGAGCCGTAGTTCACTGAGAAGCTATGCAAACAGCTGTCATTATCGCAAACGATTTTTTTGATTTCATAATCGCACAATAAAATCGTCTGCGATTTTTTGCTTAACTTGTCAGTGAACTACGGCTATGTGTAGTAAATTCTGCTCCATCTGAAAGCACGTGATGATTTCCTGCTGATTACAGAACCGGCTTTACTAACAAAATGCGCATGACAATCGCATTCGATTAATCGTGCAGCCCTACATCACAATTTCAGTCTATGGTAGCGACTGGCTTCTGCTTCTACAGACTGTTGCTGCCCTACACAGGTATGATGTTTTAAATTGAGTGAGTTGAATCCTTATGTTAAGTCCTGTTTGAAATAACGGCGTGCTGTCAAACAGCAAACAGCTTCCAGAGCACACAGTTTGCACAGGGAAAAGTATATTTTTATGGAGATAACATCTAAGAGCATGTGCATCAGATCTCTTCTCTCAACTGCATGTCTGTCTCTTAAGAACAACTCCAAACGATACCAAGTACTGAGTGTTAAAGTAGAAAAAGCAAAGTGAACAGGTTATGTATGGATTGCTAACAAATTAACAACATAAATTATAAACATATACATACATATGCAGTGACACAGACAACATACACAAAATCACTATAATTTTTAACCCTAGCACCTGCCGAAATCATACCCCCCCAGTCAGATTCTAGAGATTCTTAGAATTTGCCACAACACCGGGAAAAAGAGCTCTGTCTGACATGCCTCTGCTCTGAGACCATACTTGCACTGAGCCTTGTGACACACTTCTGTTTTGAAATACAGCTCAGTTATTTCCGGTTATGTATATTTTCAATGTGCTGTAATCATCTAGTGGACTTAAACTCCTATTAAAATGAGAGTCCCCAGGATGATTTCAAAATTCGAAAATTTTCAGAGACAGGAAAAGCGATATTCTGATGATTACTGTGCACAGAATTGCCAAAATATGAATATTCAAAGTAGTCACACGGTCAACGCATTACTGTTTAAAATTAAAGAAATTTTACTTTGTAAAAAATTTTATTTAAGCAGTTACATTCATTCAGCCATTTTAAACACTGGAACAGGGGCGGTTTCTCCATTAGGGCGATGCACCACCAAAGGGATTTTTTTTCTTTCACATTCAACCACAGTGTTATGCCAGCTTTCACTGTTCTAGACTGTTTGTTCCGCCTCTAAATAGTCCAATCAGCGTCGAGTCGCGTTTTGTGTAGTACCGCCCCTTTTTGGGTGATTTCTGTCAGACTGAGAATCGCCCCGAGTGCTCTCATAGACTTCCATACAAAGATAATTTTTTTCGAACTGCAGGCACTGCAATGCAATCTCTATGAGTTCCGGGAGGGCTAGCACTAACGTGCTTTCGTCATCATGCGTAACCTTAACTGGTGCAAGGATTGGTGGGAACAGTGACATCCAATAATATTTAAAAACTATTTTGAATTTTAACAAGAAGAAAAAATTTAAAACTACTTTAAATATCTTTATCAAATGTGAAAAAAGAAAAAAAAAACAGAGAGAGAGACGGGGACAGCTACGCCAACTCAAATTCAGTTGTCAGTTGAACTTGATCGACATCTTGGCGAACGTTACCTCAGCGCAGATGAATTCTATCGTGTCATTGAAAGAAATACCATTCAGTCGTCGTAGCAATAAGGATAAATTGGCAATTAAAGAATTAGGACCACCAAGA